CTGCTGAACAGAATTCCCTTCTTTAGCTCTCAGTAAGCCTGGACAACACTAGTCTCTGCTTGAAAAACAAACTTTGCAGAGCTGCCATGGTGTTTCTTCTCATGATTCAGACTTGCCATGTGACTCTGATGGGTAATCTTACTGCTGTCTGCAGCTACCTAATGGGAGTGTGCAAGAAGACAGAGCCAAATTCTTCTGAGGTGCCTGGTGACAGGATGATAGGTGATGGGAACAAGCTGGATCATGGGAAATTTTCCTTTGATACTAGGAAAAAAAGTTCACTGTGAAGGTAGTCAAAAATGGGAACAGAGACTGTGGGACCTACAATCTTGGTGATAAGACATCACCTGGAAAAGTTCCCCAGCAGCTGGGTCTAAGCTTCTCTACTTTGGACAGAGGGTCAGTCCCTTCCAAATTAAGTTATTCAATGTTTCTATTATGATACACCTGTATGATGCATTAACTTGATTTCCAGGCACTTTATCTCCATTACACAAGGCTCACATCTTGGGTCATTTAGCCTCACAGTTGCTCTGTGCGAGCTCTAGTACAGCATTAAACAGTCCTTCTCTTTCATGGAGCAATCCGGATTTTCCTTCTTTTCTTCATGAAAGACCTTTCCCTGCCCCCTACAAACTCCCATCTGCCATGGGATTCTCAGTGGAGTCTACCTACTTTGTCAGAGGTTTACTTGAAATCTTACAGGTGCTGTTGCCATCTTGTCCTACTGCTGCACCACCCTTAAAACCCATCTCAGTGCCACACATTTTGCTTGGTACCTTGCGCCAAGCCAATACCTTGTCCACTTGCCTCAGCAGGCTTCTGCCTGGCTTTCCTGAAGTTGGTCACTCTGTGATCGTTTTTGCCTGGATCCCAGTTCCCCTTTTGCACCTGAGCCCTCCATCTGTCCTATGGCACTTTGCTGTCTGAAAGAAGGAGGAGAGCCTTTCAAGGGAGGCTGAGCGAAACTAAGGCTGTGCACATCTGAAGAGCAGGTCTCCTCCTGCAGAAACCTTGCCAGACTCTGGGAAGTCTCAGCTGTGGTGGGGCAAGGTTGAGTCACCCCTTGGAGAATGGCATTTTCCTGAGAAACGCAAGAAATCCCCAATCCCCTTACATCCATCTCTCTTGGTGGCCGTCCATCCTTAGGAAGAAGCAAACCTAGATGCTAAAATATTGCAGCAGGGCTCCCTGTCACCAGTGTTGGGGGCCAGCCATCTTCTCCTGGCAGATTCTGCCGCGATCTGTAGACACTTTCAATTCAGGAGTGTCTGACATGTTTGAACAGAAAACCCTACACCACTCTGGGAGCAGTATTGGGCCAGCGAGCCCTTTGATTGCAATCAGTGAGTTGGCAAGAATCCCAGGAACTCGTACAAAAATGCTTTGAAGAGGCCAGATGCACAAGGTGTGTCCCTGTGAGCCTGTGGGGTGCGGAGGGGTGATTCATGGCATCACCATGCGGTGGTTGGTGTGTGCACACGCAGCCGTCAGACCGCAACGAAGGCCCCTGTCCCCCTCGGGTTGCCAGGTGCCTTTTTTGCTCTCCGGTCTTTTGCCAGTCGTGCTCAAAATTCCACACGGTTCTTGTTTTCCTTGAAGGCTTTTCCCTCTGCTGTCCCAGCGCCTGCAAGCTCCAGACAGAAGAGCAGACAGGGAATTTGCTTAAGGCGCTTGGAGGTGCAGGGCTCTGGCTGCCATGCGCTGCTCTGATGCTGTGCTCTGCTCAGGGAGCATCGCGGCACCGCGGTTCACAGCAGAAACAGCCCTTTGCAGAGGTGCTCCTGTCTAAGGAGCTTTTAGAAGCAGGTTTGGGATATGTTTCTGAAAACCGGGAGCTTTCTTCCCTTGGGCTAGATGGTGCAAACTCACCCCTAAAGAAACTGTTGTTTCTTGAAAGACTTTTTAAGCGCCCTGTCCCCAAATGCAGCCCAGCTCAGCATTTTGGGTGTTATGAAACAGGGCAGATGCCAGAGCGTAGCATTTGTATTATCCGCCAGTAAATGACTGGATGTGATAAACACTTGGCTCTCCCGCGCAGGGACAGGGTGAGGGCTGTTCCTTGCCGTGGGGCAAATGACATTACAGGTTTGCAAGACCTGGGCACTTTGTTGTTCAGAAGCCATCTGATGCTGACAGCCTGTCATTGATTTGCGAAAACATCGCTTGGCATCGATAACAAGCTTTCAGGAGAAACAAGTAGGACACAGGAAAACAACACCCAGATATCGCTCTGCTGTTCCTCACCCTGACTGGGAAGCATGCAGACTTATCCCCACTGGGTGCAGATGAGCACAGGAGCATCAGAAAATAATCCTCCAAGTCACTAGGTATTGGCAACCCAAACTTCAGTAGTGCTTGCCCCTCTTCCTGGCTGGCCTCTTCTGCTCATTGTCTAAATGGACTGAGCCTGGAGGGTGACTGAAGACAGTGAAGGTGCCACATCCTTTGAATGAGGCATCAGGAAACCTGGGAAAGGGGAACTGAAGGTAATTAGTCCTTAATTGTTCTAGTCCTGAGTCTCATCAATAAATGTTGGGTTTCTAGTGCTGGAGTTTGCTGAAGGAACATTCTGGAGCCATCAGAAGATGAAGGTGAATAGCTCTCATGCTCCTCAGTATCATGCCTGGGTTTTCCACTACTGCTCTTCTTTCTCTAAAAACCAAAATGCAGACACACGAGTTCACAAACCATGAAGAAAACATGAAACCCGATGAGTGGAAACAGTTACTTTTTTTCCATGTCTTCCTGCTGCTTTCAAGGAGTGACATCGTGTCCCAGAGCTGAAAACACCAGGTCTGTAGCCAGACCCCAAGCCCTGGCCCCTCATCCAAGAGAGCAGCTCCTGGCCCTTGTCTGGGCCCTCTGCTCCTGCAGACATCCCTGAGACCCGGTACTGGGACACCAGGAAGCCTCTTTCCTGGGTGCCTTCTCTCCTGGTCTCCTGGTGTATCGGCCTCCTGTGGCTTGGCAAAAGCTTTCTCAGCATTTGCTGTTACCTGGAACTGGTCACACCAGCACTGAGGTGTCTGGTTCACAGCAGTGCGGCTTGGCAGGGAGAAACCTCTTCCCTCAAAACCTCTTCCCTCCAATTCAAAGCTCGGGGTGTTATGTCCGATATTTTCTCCACGGAGAGCCTGGGCATAGGGCTGGTCCTGCAGAGGCAACGGGTGATGCCACCATGAACGCAGCAGCATCCCATGGTCAGCAGGCCCTGGGGGATAGCTCCAGGACCAAGATTAAGGCTTGCACATGCGGTCCCATGCACTGCCTGGTTGGTGCAGGCAGAGGAACCTTTTCCCAAATATAGGGCTGGAGCCGACTGGCCTGGGAACATCCCAGCAGGGCCAGGGATAGAGCCCGGACCCACAGGCACAGGGGAGTGTTTGTGCCCATGCGAGTGTAAGTTGCCCCTTACTACCAAGGGCCTCCCCAGCTTCTTGGCACCGAAACCCCATTTCAATCCAGTTTAGACCAAGGGAAGTAATAAAGTATGAGCCGAGCAGGCAGTGTGGGATCTCCTGCAGCCTGCCAAGAGCACCGTTCCCCCCCCGAGTCCCCCAGGGCCACGAGCCCCCCATGGCCAAGGGTGGTCCCAGGAGGGCAGGAGGCAGAGCCGGGGCGCGGGGAGCCGCGTGCCCCGCAGCGGCAGCAGGGCCGCGAGCGCGCGGGGAGCGCGTGGGTGTGGACGGGCAGGGCTGTATATCCAGTCTGGCGGGGGGGGGGGCGGCTCACACGCCGCGGGGCTGGAGCCCTGCGACATCCTCGGCCGGGGGACGTATGGCAAGGAGGGGTTTGGGAGATTAGGCGCAGAGCGAGTCGTGTCGCTGTGGCCTCGTGTCGCGTGCGGGCAGGTGAAGCGCAGAGCCCCTCTTTCCCCTCCCCAGCCCTGAGGTCCGTTCGCAGCCATGCTTCACTCTCCGCTGAAAACAGCGCTGGCGTATGAATGTTTCCAAGACCAGGCCAGTTCCACGTTGGCCTTGCCCTCGGATCACAAGCTGAAAACTAAGGGCACAGGAAAACAGAGGGTCCAAGAACAAGTGATGATGACGGTGAAACGGCAGAAGCAGAAATCGTCCGTGTCATCGAGCATGGGCCACTCCAACCGAGGTAAAATCCCACAGCGCGGCGGGCAGCAAGGGGTCCCCCATGGGCATGGAGCGGGTGCTAAGGGGTCATCCTGCTCCAGGCTACGGGCTTGTTGGGGGCTTTGTTCATGGGGGACAGACCAGTTCGTGTTCTCTTGTTACCTACTGGGTTACCTTGGCCGGGAATGCCAAGGTCTATTGCCCTGGATAGAAGAGTAAAGATGAGATGTGGTGTTGGAGGCAATGAAGCCTTTGCTGGTGTGGATACGAGAGAAAAGTGAACGTAGATGAGCCAGGAGCGCAGTGGAGACAAACTGATCTGCATCCCTGAGGCACTTGGATGTTTCAGCGCGGTGCTATTAACTCTAAAGCCGGAGAAGCTTCCTAGCCTTTGTGAATCCTTTCTCCAGGTATGCCCCTGCAGGTCAGCTCCTTGGCTGGATTCCTCCCCTCCTGTGGCCAGCTCTTCTTCATGCCGCGGAACTCGGAGCTGGCCAAGAGCTGTGGCTCAGCTGTCACTTCAATACTGCTGCAGAGGGAGGACAGGTAGCTCTGCCTGTGCGCAGGACACAAACCGGAGCTCAATGCAGGGTTCCCCTTTGAGGGTCCCCAGGTGTCCCCCCACTTCCAGGTGGCATTACAGAGAAGCATGGGGACGGCTGAGTCTCAGGGACACCACGGCATGATCAGCAAAAAGAATTAGAAAGGTGTAGAAAGGTCTTTTTTTCTTGCTGTGGCCTCTTGTTGTGTTTCAGAGGGTGCTGGACAGTCCCATCTGTTTTGCAGACAGGTAAGGTGGGGTGTGAGGGACCACTCTGGTCCACCCCTGTGCAATGGATTTGTGCCATAGAAAGCAAGCAGTCAGCTGAGTCCTGGAGTTTTCAGATTTCCTACTGGAATGCTTTTTTGGGACAGGACTTGGCAGGTGATTTGCTTCACCGTCTTTCTTGCATCTGGAGAAAATTGCTTTGGAAATAAATCCCAGCAGAGCTGAATTCACTGGGAAGAAGAAAGTCTGGGCATTTGAAGGAAGGAGAGCAGTTGGGGCTGAGCCATCCGGCTGCATCCCGAGTGAGCAGGGTACTGAGGGGTGTTTGCTGGAAGGCTGTGTGAGACAGGCCACCAATTTTGGTGACTGTGGTCCTAACTCTACAACGTCCTGCTGGCCACGTCTCAGGGCTGGATCACTAGGGGGAATAGGTAGAATCCAGGGCTGCTGAGGCGTCACGTCCAAATATTTTGAGCTGATTTGATGAGAGAAGCAGGTGGCAATACGCAGCTAGGTGAGGGAATCAGGATGGTATCCCCATGGGCCATGGGTGCCCTCCTGGTCGTATATAGTGCAGTCGCTGTGGCTGAGGGAATAGAACAACTTTGTGGGGGAAGGCCAGCGTGCCATGACCCGTGACAGGCATCGGTGCGTGCAGATAACTGGCTCCTTTGATTTCACTTGTTTGTGGACACAGACTCCAAGAAGTAGATGGAGAACAAGTGGGTGAAGGCAACTTTTTTTCCTGCCACCAAAAGGGAAGGCAGCAGAGAATGCAAATAAAATCCAAACCAGGATGATAAGAGAAGATCTAATTGAGAATTGAGTCAGTGCTGGTCTCCCTTTCTACCAGAACTTTATTTCAAGGAGAAACAGGCAGGCAGATGCCTGGTTGGTAAAGGGAAGAGTCACTGTGGAGAAGTGTCCAGGTTAAACCTCCTGGGGAGGAAGTCAGGAAGAGCAAATTCCCCAGGTGCTCCTCTTTGCTAAGCAAGGTCACTTTAAATGCCTCCCCCAGGCTTTGGGGAATATCAGGGAATTGCTCAGAAATGTGGAGCTCTGGTTTCTATGTCCCAGGGAAGCTGAGCCCATTGAGCTCCCAGCTGCTGCCTCCAAACACAGGGCAGAGACTGTCCCCGTCCCACAGCAGGAACCCGGCCGGCACTGCCATCCCGGGTGGCTGCCTCCCTGCTCGCACACATGTGCCATGGGCAGCTCGATTTGACCTGTGGCACCGTTGGGTGCTGGATGGACTCCCAAAAAGAGCAAGAAGTCCCTGTTTCTTCTCCAACTTTTCCCCTGGGCTGGCATCATGCGAGGATCAGACTGGACTTTCAAGGAGCAGAGTGCTGCCTTGTTTTGTTCGTTACTGCCCTTGTTCCGGAGGTGGGCTCAGCACACCTTGAGAGACACAGTCCTGTTCCTAAGGGGTTACAAGGGATTGTGACAGCTCTCCAGCTGCCTCTTTGAAGGGTCCTCCAATATTAGCTACATCCATCCCTACGTGATTTCTCAGAGATGCTCCTCAAAAGCAGCACACGCTGGGGAATTTGCAAAGCCCCTTGAGGAATGTCCCTGCGTCTTGTTCCTTCTGGATTCGGAAAGCTTCCCACGTGTGCCTGGTTAGATACTGCTCCACGTTCAGCTCTCACTGTGTTTTCTTATGCAGTTTGGACAGGCACTGGAGTGCACAGCAGAGCTTTGCCCAGCTTCTGGAGCATATTTACCTATGTAGGTAGCATAGGAAGCACAGATATATAGACGTATACCCTACTGACATGTATCAGGAATGGAGTTTACATGTCCCATATCTGGAGTTTCTTTAGAGGGCAAGAGTCATCCTTCCAGCGTCCTGCTATTGATGTCTGCATAGTATTAATCAGTTAATTCATCGGTAGTATTAATCGGTTAATTGCAATCCAGGAAATCAAGGCACTGAAAGCCAATGTCTAAGCCCAGGATCTGGTATGTCCCAGTGTATGTCCAAACCACAGAGCATGGATACTCTGCAGGGCAGGGTGATCCTTCTGACTGAACTGATGTGCGCTGGGCCAGGGCGAGGAGTGGAAACCAAGTGCAAGGAACCCAATCCTACCTCGTCACAGGGGCCTTTTCTCAGCACGGCACCTATGAGCGTTTCCAAGGGTGGCTGTAGAGTGCTTGGGTTTCAGGTCTGTGGGAACTGCCTCAGGGACATCACTTCTCACCACGTGAACAGCTAACTGGAGAGCTCCATCTGATCTGGGAGTAACACACAGGTTTCAAGAGAAAATGAATTTCTCTGGCATGGCAGGAGAAAAAGCCAGGCCAAGCTGAAAGAAAACACCTACCAGCTAACAGTGTATACAAAGTCCTCTGGCTAAAGAAAACTTTTGACAGTGTCTCATCACTGGCTAGCAAGATGTACCAGGAAGAAAAGATCTTAGGAACCTGAGCTTAGGAGTGTTGTGTCTGTCTGTCTCCCAGTTGAGTTGTGATTTAGAGGTTTATTCTGCTGGCTGCTGTTGAGAGGAGTGAAATCCCAACCAAATCCTTTGAAGTGAGGCACTAGGGGACTTTGAGGAGAGTGAGTGGTTTGAAGACTTCTGTAACATTCCCTCTGTATGAAATGATTCAGTGAAAGCTGTCCACTCTTCCACAAACCTCGGTTCAGAGAATTGTTTACAGTAGCAGAAACCCTTTAGCTCATAGTTGAGAACCCAAAACTGCACTTCTCTCATTCCTGAATGAAACTCAGCTGCTGGGATTTGACTAACACTTCTCTCCTTGGAGGCATCCAGGCTTTGCTTCATGCTTCCCACAGGCCTTCTCCTCTTACCACTTCTTTCCTATGTTTAATCATCCTCATTGTTTTAAAGTCATGCATAGTTTATTATTCAGCTTGTCTAGCCTGCACTACCACTGACTGGTTCTCGTCTTGCCTTTCCCTGCCACAGATTAATATTTATTAATCTGCATCCATTGCCATAAACTGCCTATTAGCTTATGTGTCCAGCTGACATCTTTTACTGTTGTGCTTGAGAAATGGCTCTGCTCACACAGTTCTCCTGCTCCCCGTGAGCCTTTTCACTTGTTAAAGCTGGCTTTGATGGAGCTAAATAACTCATCAAAAGTTGCAAGCAAATTGGGTTAGACCAAAGGTTCAGTCTGCTCTGCAATGATCAATAATACCTAAGGGGACAAAGAGGAGGGCAAGGCCAGCATGTAGTGGTGCTTACAGTAACTTTGGGCAAGATCCAGCAATCCTTACCAGTTGCAGGCAGTCTTTGCTCTATGAACTGTCTCACTGATTTACACTTACCCAAGTTTTGAAGGAAATGCCATGGGCTGATAACCATTTGGGTATAAAAGAGAAGGTTTCTACAACAGTCCAGCTAAAGCTTGGTCAGCCCTTAGGGGTATTTTCTGCCCACAACCATGGTAGTTGGGAGGCTGTGCTTCAACTGAGCAATCTACATCAGTGTTTCCTCTGCCACCTGTTCCGTCTCTTAATGCTAAAAACATGATGTTTTAAATCTGCTCTGGGTTTAGCCATGTGCAGGTGGGCACTTTAGAGACCTGCTAAAGAGCTGCTCAGCTGCTGGACACCAGCAGATAGGACTCCCACATGTAAGAGTTGGGAATCAGCAGCAAGGAGGCATCTCCTCCAGAGAGCATTTCCACCCCCTGCAAAATGTTTTTTTGAGGAGGACAGTCTGTTTTCTTTCCCCAGGTTCTCAATATCTGTGTCCTGCTTGTGTGCTCTTTACCCTTGAGCTGGCTGCAAACAGGAATATCCTTCCTCTCCTCTAGAGTGAATTGCACAGTTTGAAGCTGCCTTTCAAGATAAGTCAGGCAGAGAAGTGTAGAGTCACAGGTCAACACAAAACTGACTTTTTCATTAGCCACCTCCATCAGCAGATCCACAGGTTCTTCCTGGCTCTCAGACTGAGCTCTCCAAACAGTAAGTCACAGTTTTGTGGTCGCAGAAGCACCTTCTGCAGCCATCAGGGTGGCTTCAGAATGCCTTGGACATGGGAGCCTATGTAAATTCTTAGCAGGGATGGCAACTGTTCAGCAACTGAAGAACATAATATTGCATGAACTGCCTAATTTCTGGGGCTTGGACATGTAATGGTGCATTTGTATGAAAGAATCAGAAGTGATTCTAAGAGGGCCTTTTTAAAAATTATTATTATTATTTTGTGTCTTTTGGCTCAATGCAGAAGTCTTTAGAGCCTGGTAGGGACAGGTCATAACTGATGCGAGAGGGAAGAAGGAGAAGGAAAATTGGTCAGATTAGTCTGTGAGTCGTGTTGAGAAACTTGTATATTAAGGGGAACTGCTAAACTCACATTGTCAGGAAAATGCTCACAGATGCTTCAAACTGCAGTTATTCAATATTCACGTGGAACAAGAGACCGATAACAAATAATTCCCAGGAAATAAATACCATAATATTGTTTTATCTTTGCACTCAGAGCTAGTTTTATTGGGTAATTCTGTCATCTGGTGAAATATCTGTGTTGAAGATATCATTTCAACCCTGCCTTGCTTTTCCTCAAGCCCAGCACTGGTGTCCTGGCCTGTCCCAAAGGTCGTTATGGGGAAATCCCGGGGTGGGGAAGCACTAGGTGAAGGATGCAGCTGGATAGTACCTCCATTCTGAGGTCTAGGGCCATTTGTGTTACCAGAAGCAAGTCTTACACAGCTTAACACATATGAATCAACAAGGATTGGAGATATTTTCATAGGGATCTTGAAACAATGCTCACTAAGTGTATAGAGTTTATGGAAAATGAGCTCCTATGGTTTTCTGCTGCTGCTTATTTTGGGTTCAGTGACATTCCTCAGATGCTGTCTTCTGCACAGTGTTGCTCCTCTCCTGTTGACAATAGAAAGCAAATCTTATTATTTATACTTTATCTAAGGCAATGATCTTCCTGAGAAAATGCAAGAATTTTAGCCACGCACCAAATCAACATAACAGGTTCCGGATGCCTAAGGCAAGGCAATAAATTAGATATATTGCAAGGTTCAGTGGCTGTAGAAGACCTAAGTGGCTTCAGGGCCTTTGTGGTAGAGCTTATCCAGTTTATCTAAGAGATGAGTCTTATCAAACAGTCAAAGAGATTAGAATATTTCTGACATTACCCACCAGTTTTGGTGCATAGCTGGGGACAGGTAACTCCTGATTTTGTAGGTTGTTAGACACTCAGAGGTTCCCCTGGAAGTTAATTGGGGTGTATGGTTTGCACTTCCTCATAACGGGATGGGGAATCCCACAACCACTGAGAACTTTTAAAGATGAAACTTAAATGATCTCAAATCCCTTTGGATCATCTGAAGAGTGTTAATGGATTTCCAGCCTGGAAAAAGAAGGAACCTCTTCATTTTTGCTCATAATGTTGAATACAGCCCTGAGTACAATACTTTCAGGATGTTCCAAAGGTGGCACTCCCAAGATCTGCTGGAAAAAGTCACCCATAAGAAGTTTTGATACGATTGGGTTTGTTAGCTCCAGATACTCTGAATAAAGCACTGAGAAATAGTGATGGCAGCTGGATTCCTCCTGCTCCAAGAAATATCCACCTTTGCAAGATACACCTGACGTGTAATGCCACACATCTCCCCAGCTCCCTGTAAATAATGATCAGGCTGGATACTTTTCAGAAACAGGAATATAAATATCCAGAATGATCTTTTAGAGACTAGACATGGAAATTTAAGCCAGTGATATTTGCTTTTAAATGTCTGATGTATTTAGATCCCCAGGCATTAAATAGACTTGATCATCACTTACTGATCAGGTTTGTTATTTACAATTTATTGAATTTAACAAAGCTTGCTTATAAAACTTGTGTTGACAAGATTATTAGTCTTTAGACCACAAAGGCACTTTTTCTCTGGCTGCACTGCCAAGAAACTTGAGGTGGTTTTTGCCTTTAGAGAAAGGGTAAATTCTATTTACCTCCCACTCAGAATAAGAAAAATGAGTTCTAGGTTCATCTCATTCTTCTCATATAGCAAAAACCAAAGATACTGGCCATGCCTTCGGTGTTGTCTGCTCTCTTCCCTTTTAGCTTTTATGGCACTTGGTCTTTTGTGCTGAAGAGCTTAGGCTGTCATTCAGTCTGAGCCAGAGTATCTAAGAGCCCTTCTGGAATAAACATCTATGAGTTGCTGACTGGCCAAGCCTGACTCACTGACTTTCTTTTCTGTGTTCCTGTTAAGCTTTCCAACTCCATTATTCTTCAGTAACGGGTAGAAACAATTAGACTCACAGGAGAAAAAGAGCTTTAATCTCTACAGGGGTACTTGCTGCACTTCTTTCTCCTTCTGACGGTGTTTTTTATTTACAGGTTCCATGTACGATAGTCTAGCTGATGGTTACGGCTATGGGACATCCCGGGGCAGCTATTATGCCAAAACCCAAACAGGAAACAGCAACTGGGGATATCCGGTAAGAGATTCTTTTGTCTGGGAACTGTGGCCTACTCTTGAGGCAGCATGTACATAAAGCACCCTCCCACTGCAGAGGTCGTGTAGTAAGTTAATGGCACTGTGGAAACGTGAATGACAGAGAGATTATCCATAGCTGTGACTATTTTAGCAAGTAATTCAGTGCAATAGGAGAGGATCAGGAGATCACAGCAACAAGCACTGAAGATTCTGTATCTACTCGTTATGGTGTTGGAGATTTTACCGTGGATGAGATATAGTTTGGTCTACTAGGCTAAATATTCCCACAACCCAAACAATTTGAAGCTGGTTACAGGTTCAGGTTCTTATGTCTTAGTTAAAGGTTGCATGTCCAAAGGTTGCATGTCCATGGCTTACTTGGAACAGTTTCCAGTTTTGTTTCCTCTGAAAAGAATCTGTTCACATGCACCAAAACTGCTATGTCTACAACACTGATGTGGTTCAGTGGGGCTGATCAGGGGGGCACAGTCCGAGCTTATGCATCCCACAGAGGTCCTGGTCTTGTCCTTGATGACAGACTCTCAATGAATTGAGAATCACGTTCTTCAAACCACTCCAATGTCTGTTGAAGCAATTTATGTTCTCCCTCCACCTTTGTCCTGTATAATGTTCTTCCTTGGTCTCCATCAGCTGTAATGTAGAAAGAAGAACTCACAGATCTGAGATTTTAATATGGGAAGAAGAAAAGGCTCCTTTCAACCACTCTGGACTGACTATCTTTAGGACCTGTAAAGCAGTTCTTTTAATTATCAAAGGGTTGAACCAGAAAAGGTGCTTATGCTGGCTTCAAGCACAGAGTGATGCTTTTGCTGTAAGCTGCCAACAGCTCTCCCTGTTCATAGCATCAGCATTCCTCAGCTGCAGAAAGATTTGTCTGTCGTCTTTGTTAATGGCCATAGTGTAGCTTCAAGGCAGTCATAATGTCACTTGCTAGGTTTGCATTGCTGTGTTAGCTTCCTGCTTCCAGCATTTTCAGTAGGAAGGGCTGGAAGCACTGGCATGGCTTTGCAGTTTTGGCCTGCAGCCTGTCTGTCAGCTTGTTGCACTGTATTTCGTTGAGCTGGTTAAGTTCCCAGGCAGGGGTCTTTTTGCCTGGAGTAAGACCACAAGAGTGACCGTAGTGGGTCACCATCTCTAAGGTCACCATCTCTAAGGCAGTGATAGAGCCCTGCAGAAGAGCCTGGGAAGGGC